GGAAAAAGCAATTTGGCCACAGACGTCCGACTTGCTTTTTCCCGGGCCTGGAAAAAACAATTTGGCCACGCGCCTTCCATTTTGCTATTTCCCAAGGCTTGTCGTCGTGGTTGAGGCCGCCTTCTGTCGTGCTTGAAGTTGCCCTGTTGTCTTGGTTGAGGTTGCCCGCCCTTGTCGTGGTTAAGGAAACACATGTGGTTAATTTGCCAATTTTCCCGTGGTTAACCAGTTAACCCATGTTAACCCCGAGTCTCGTGTTTTTGCTGTTCACCATCGGAGCCCTTCTAGACGACCGGAAGACGTGTCAGGATCGTGTTAATTTGTTTATTCCTTTTTTGGGGGGAAGCCGGTACTTCCGAAGAGAAGGACACTTGTTAGACCCTACTTCCTTTGAAAAGAAGGCCTTTGAGTGATACATACCCCAGTCGTGCGGGAGTTTTGGGTTTGTCACATCGCACTCAGGTTGAATTTCGCTCGAAGAACGGATGCAAACACTGATGCCAGCTGACCTGCCCGTTCTTCTCAGGTAAACATTTTTTGTTTCATCGCCATCAATGCCCAAAGTATCAGCGTTATCGCAGTATACCTTGAAGAGAAATGCCTTTGAGTCTTGGTTACCCCCAGAACCTCTGCTTTCGAAGCAGGTTTCAGAACGTTTGAGAGCACCTCGTCTCAGGACTACCTGGAAAGCAAGTCCTACAAACTCTTCCGTCGCCTCCGAAAATCGGGCAAGCTGCACCTTGGTGTTCTTGGGCGTTCGTGCGCGGCTGTGGTGCTCCGTCTCCAATTCCGGGGTGAACCCCGATTCCGGATCGGATGGGTCATGGAGGGGCCAGCGCCCGCTGCCGATAGGTTTTTCGATATGAAACCTTCTTTTCTTGACGAAAAGAACCTAACACGTTGGTTTTTTGGGAAAGGTCATGAAGGGTCGGTCCTGGCGCCTGGGAGGAATTGAAGTTCCATGCTCTGGGTTTTTGGGGGCCATGGCTTCAGGGCGCCCGCGTTTGGATGTTCGTCGCAGCGTTATGGCTTCAGAGCTGTGGCCATGGCTTTGTCGAAGCCTCACCATGTTCTTGATGATCCGTGGCTTTGGTTGAAGCCTCACCATGATGCCTGGGAGAAGCAGGTGGCCGATCTGGAGGCAGATCCGCGACTCTACTGAGGGTGACTCAGGGCTCTCTTCCTGGGTCTTGGTGTTTGTTGTGCTTGCCTGGAGGAAGCTTGAAAGAAAGGTATGCTGTATGCTTGTGGTCTTGTGTGTGTGTGTGTTTGGGTCTTTTGTCTGGTTTGGCCTGATCCTTTTCAAGATGTTTGTACTCCATTTCAGGGTTCTCTTCGTATATTTTTTCAAACAGCAACATTGCAAGATTCACCACAGCGGGGGGAAAGCTTCTGATGCATAAGAATGCTGAGACGTGGAACATGCCTCAGTCAAGGGAGAGAGTTTTGAAGGTAGTACTTGGAAGTTCGCACAAAATCACTGGCTGTCGGGCTGTCGGTGGCTCTCCGGTGTAGCTGGGCTGGTGGTACTGTAGCATGATGTAGCATGTGGTAGCTGGACTTCTGGCGGAACTTAAAGACTTGGGGAGAGAAGTCTCCGCCCCGGCGAGGGTCACAGGCCCCTCGGCCTTGGCTTTCGGGAGAAGTGCTCCCCTCAAATCCGTTGAAATATGCCCCGGCCTCAAACGTGTATAGAGACAGGGTCTCCCCCTCACCGTTTGGGGTCTCGGCCTCAACTGGGAGACCCTCGGGCGTGGCCTTTGGTACTTGCAGAAGAAGTTCTTCGAAGTCCCTCCCTCTACAAGGGTGGGCATTCCTGTTGGTGGAAAAACTCGACCATTTCCCATCTCTGATGTTTCTCTTGAGAACTCCTCCACTGCGTTTTGAACTGACACACCTCAGCCTACCCAACTCCGCCCACCGCGATGGCAGAAGCTCGTTCACTCTGAGCTGAAGAGATTGCTGAGTCCCGCCTTGTTCGTGGCACGGAGTGTTGCTTGACTTGGGCTACTGTGGGACTGGACTTGTGAAAAGGAACGGGGAGCAGTCAGAGCAACCCACTGACAAACCCACTGCCAACCCCCAAATAACACCCTAAACTCTTGGGTTTGTGCCATTTATACACGCGGCACCACGGGGTGTGTGTTGACCGGTCCCATCCGATCACGTTTTGTCCACACGTTTTGTCCACCCGCTGCTGCGCCACTCCGGGCTGCAAGCATGTGACAAAGAGGATCCAAAGAGGATAGAGCGCCCCTTTGGGGTCTGTAGAGCCTTTGCTTTCGGGCCCGGCCCTTTTTGGGGGGGCCCTGTTTCAGGGTGGGGAAATCAGACGCCACGTTGGTTTCGGATTCCATCAGCAAACGTCACCGGCTTATCGGATGCCGAGTTTTACAACTTTGGCTTGGAGCTTTGTGATCTTTGTGATCTGCAAGGCGCGTACCAGCGACACTGTACGACCGTGACCGCGACCCCGTACGACCGTGACCGTGATGAGATGGAAGATGGTGCTGCCTGCAGCTGAGATGGAGATAGAGATATTCAATGGTGCGAACTCGGGAGATGGGATGGTCTTCCACTGCATGGAATTTCCATCGCCCTACATTTTGGCTGTCAGTTGGGATTCTCGTCTATGTCCTGCTCCTTCACAGAGGAAAGTGTCCCTTTTCGACAATGAAGCCTAAAGCTACAGTCGATTGAGTTCTAGTCAAAGAGCGAACCCAGCACTGTTTGCCCAGAAAGTGTGTGTTACCAATACCATCCAATACCATCCAATACCCCAATCAATCATTGAATCATCAGTTGACCTCCGAATTTCAAATCAGACGATCAATTCCGTCATTGGCCGTACGATCGGCTAAACCGATGGATTACTTGATCTTCCAACCCCCTCTGCGATGACCCCCTATGAGCGATATTCAGTGACCATTCTCTTGATCTTGTGACAGAATCGGCGACGTGCCGCGATCGATGAACGATGTTTGCGCGCTTGGCCGGCGAACGTCGACGGACGGACTGGCGGCGCCAGACTGGGGAATGGGTATCTTGCCTTTCGAAAGAAGCTCTGAGGACAAGGACGAGGCGTTCCCCGCGCCGACTGATCAGCCGGGGTCAGGATCGGAGAGGAGAGTGCTGAGAGGATGCCGAGAAGGTCTTTCACTTTTGCAATCTTTTGCCGAATCCACATGGGCTATGAAAAAGAATGTATTATTACGTAACAGTGTAACACACACATTCAAATTGCATTAAATTGTACAGGGGATAAGGTGTCCTGTGCAGGGTTCATGGTGGCCCCATAAGGAGTTGGAAATTGTCGAAAGCGGAAATAGAAAGGGGACTCGCCTACAGTCACTATAGTACAGACACTACTTGAATCTACTTGCCATAATTGTGGGATGCGGAACCTGTAGACCCTGGACAGCCTGCCCCGAACGGCTTAAACCGTTTGAAAGCGGTTCCGAAGTTCTCCCACACTTTTGCTCGGAAAGTCTTCAGAAGTCTTATATAAATGCATCAAATAGCGCTTGTCTGGTTCCACGGGGCATGAACAAACATCGGCCCTTAGTGTTCTTTTTCGTGACATCTTGTGGAACACGGTCACTGGTCAGTGCCCATCTCCTGGTCACACTGGTCACTGGTCCCGGTGTCCATCTCCTCCCCGTCCTCCGTCCTCACCGGTCCTCCCCGAGCGTCCAGACGCTGGAAACGCTCCAGCTGGTCACTCGGGAGCGCCTTTGGTCGCGAACCGAACGCCGTGGGTTTCCACGGACCGGTTAGACGACGACGACGCCCCCGTTGGGACCGGGTCTTTTTCTTTTGGGACACCCTGGTATCTGCCTGGTATTTGCCTGGTGCTGGATCCATTTTTAGCCAAGATTCCCTAGCTAACGATGAAATGATATGAAATGGTTTGGGAAACGGGCGAGATCGTATGAGTCACACATGTGTGCACACTTCTTCCAAAGACGGCAGCAGTTCTTTTGTTTCAGATTGGAGCATAGATATTTGATGACTGATCGTATGAATTGCATGTGATGCCATGCCTTCTTTCTGAAATGAGAGGTGCCACTTCTTCAAACATGCCATGCACCTGCCATGAGGGATGCACCGTTCACGAAAGCCGTCCGTGGGACCACCGTGGGACGGACATCTGCCCTTCGCTCGCTGCACGCGAGAAGTACAAGAAGAGGACGCTCAACGGTAAACTGTTTGGGGGGGAAATGAATCGGGTTTGCACACCAGATGATTTGTACTCACGTAGATGTACACGATGTACAGTCGGCCCAACTCTTGATCTGAGGTTGGCATGCTTTTCCTGCTTCACATCAGCCACTGGACCGGGGATTTTCGTCCGCCTGGACCGGGGTTGGCAGTGGACGAGTCCTTGACGTCGAACGGAGCGGTCAGGGCATCGCGAACCGAGTCCGGAGCGATCGGACGCTACGAACGGAGCTCTTGGCCTTACTACTATAGGAACAAGAAGCTACTAGAAGCTTTTTGAGGAAGAGATTCGTGTGACTGCCTGCGTGAGCTTTTTAAGAGCTTTTCGAGCGCTGGGAAGAGTTGGGGACGATGGAACAGTGTTCCCTTTGGCTGCGACGGAGGTCGCTCGGTGGTCACAGCCAAAGCCACCGACATTCTTGGGCAAGATTGACAAACTCCCCCCCTTGCAGATTAACAGTTTTCCAGTCTCCTGATGTGACTAATTTTCGTGACTTCATGGTTCAATATATGTTCAACATTGTTCAACTAGGGAGATCTCCCAGTTCGACCCCGAACAGTTGAGCCATAGAGTCGACCCCCTTGTGGACCAGTCTCCAGACATCCACGGTCCACGGACCGTCCACGGGACCCGAGGACATCGGTCCGCGGTGGCACCGAACGAGGTGCCGAGGTGCCATTTTCACCACACCCAGTCGATGAGTTCTCTGAGGTTTGCTCTCTTCTGCCAAGCGTGGCCACTGAGCTTTTGCTCTCAAGCAACTTGACTCCACTTGACTGGCTTCTCTTTTGTGTCATGTTTTTTTGGAGCCTTTCACCATCCTGGATGGGAAAATGGAAGAGAAGAAACCCGGTAGGAACGTGGCAATTCTTTGGAGAGTCCAATTGTTAACTGACTGGCGTGGGAAATATCTACTTGAGGATCATCACATATTCACCGGTAATTATCATAACCATGCGCGCTAAAAGAGAAAGGCGGTCATGTCTATTCTGAAGCGACGATGCATTTCTTGACTGCAATGACACGATTCTTGGCAAGGAGAACTACATATAGTCATGGACCATCATGGACCGGTATTTCTCCTGGCTGTGTCACTCCTCTGACTCGTCCGGTGAAAGCGCGTGGCTCAGAAGCACCCCTCCTTTGGAGCACGAACCGAAACCCGTGGAGCTGAAACTCAGCGGTTGGAGCTGATCTCGGCCCACAGTAGGGAGACTCAGGTTCCCTTTGGTGTGAGGAAACGTCTTTCTCTTTTGGGGACAACACCACGGCTGGAGGGCGCTCTGCTGTATTCTTTCATTCGGCACTCTAATTTGTTGAAAGGTTCTACCAAGAACCTTCGGTGCAGACCTATGAGACCTTCCCCCAAACTTCATGACTTAACTGAGGCGTAACTATTGGGCCCTTCTCGAGCTTTACCTTCGCCCTGTTGCTTGAAAGCAAACAGTGTTGGGATGTGAGCATTATATAATATATATATATATATATACGTGTACACTTATAATAATACATTTATATGCATACATATACTGATAGACTTAATATAACTACTTGGGTCCGCCGGGCGTAGACGGCCGTGTGGTTTCGGGACCATTTGTTGTTTGTTGAAGAACGCTTCTTTTATTGAAGTTACATTGGGATTAGCATTTCTGTGGTCGTTCAGGGGTCTGGAAGCAGAGTTCTGCGTGTTGGGAACTTTGGAAAAACTACTTTGCATCCACATGATTGATCTGAACTCAGCTGCCTTTTGTTCGTCGACGGAGCGTCAGAACAACTTGCTAATCTGTACAAGCACTTCGTCTGCAGAGAGGTTTCGCAGGCAGTGCACTCGCCACACTAATTGGTAAAGCATCAGCTGGATCTTTGGGTTCGTGACACTGAAGTGACGAGCTTTGCTGCCTTTTCTGGCACGTGTGCAATGGAAACACATTTGCGGATAAATGGATTCCTCTTGGTTATCTATTGAAACCGTTCCTTGCTAAATGACATTCTGCCACCCTACAGGCATCCAGAGGTGATGACCTCGGCTTCGCTGGATCCATGACCTCACCCTATAGGCATCCAGAGGTGAAGGCTTAAATTCCTCTGTTCTTTAGAGCCCTCCAACGATGCCTTCGCTTGATCTATGACCTTGAGCCTCCGATTTGAAAAGCTCTCGAAGCTTCTCCTTGATGAAGGACGGATGGTCTCCAGTAGCACTGTCATATTCGTGTTCCTGCCAGCGACCGCATCAACGCATTCAAGAATCCACACTTTGGGCCGCAGGTGCTTGATCGTCACAGCCACGAAAAATGGCTGAGAGTTGTTGTCCAGGAAGCCAGCTCCAAGCCCCCTCCTCAAATCCACAAAATCCAGAAGTATGTATTCATACTGACTGTAAGTCATCCAAACATGCCACACATGCCATGCCGAACATGCCACAAATACCACCCATGCCACATATACCCACATGCTGACATTCCAATTTATAAGTCAACTTGACATAATTACATTTCCAGGCCTGGACCAAGGGGTGCAAGGAAATCCTGCTCCATATACATCACACTGCAGAACCTCCTCCCATTGATTCGTGAGCAAAGACTGTTGTCCTGGGACAAGCTGCGCTTCACCACATCCCCGCACAGCATCTTCAGACTGTCGTTGCGGGTCAACTCTTGACACGTTGGATCCTTGTCCTGGGGCAGGGCACACAGGCAAACCAGGACCAAGGGTGATGGCCTCATTTGAGCTGCTGCGCATCTCATCGAAGATTGGACCGTGTGCCCCGCTGTTCAGTCGAAACTTAAACAGACCAGGGAACACACGAAATCGAACATCAAAGGCGCCTTAGGGCCAATGATTTAAACACACAACTATTCGCTGACAATGTTATGTCGATTTGTGGATGACAATGTTGTGACATTGATGACAATGTTGCGATATCGATGACAAACAACAAGTATTGTAAATACCATGCATTGTCTACACAATTGCTCAAAACCATGAAAACATGAAACATACCATAGAAAATGCTTTTTGCAAATGCGACGCTCTCCCCAGTGACACACGGAAAGTGCTGTAAATACCACGCGGAATTTGCAATAAAGTAGTCGAAACGCCACGGCCGTCTACGTGCGGAGGTCAACTACTTACATCTTTTCGTTCGGCTTGTTGCTGTACAGCTTATTTTGAACAGCTTTCTGGTAGACTGATCTATGGGTCAATGGGTCTTTATGGGTTTATGGGTCGATCAAGATGGTGTGGAAGCGGCTTTGGGTGACTCCACCGGTCGTGTCAGCAGCTCAATGAGAAGAGCAAGCTCAAGAGCCGTGGGTTGCAGAAGCCTTCGCCTCCCAATGGCATGGTCTACATGGCCCGTTCAACATGCTCAGCATGGGCATGCTGAGTGTGGCAGCCTGGCACATGAATAAAAGTATCCAATGTGTAGCAGAGCATAGTCCAAAAGACACCCATGAATGACACTGGACATGACGATGTGCGAACAAATACACATAGCACACGTACACCATTTTCAAAAGCAAGCATGGACAGTCATGGAACATTTTTGGGGAATGGCGTGCTTGACCTGTATAGGTTCAGTGTTCGAATATCTCTTTCCAACAAACAATCGCTTCCTTGAAAAGATCCCCACCGTGGCATTTACTCCATGGCGCGTGCAGATCCACCCATGCGGCATCATAGCTCACACGACTGCTGGTGCCATATGCCAAACTTGGCCTCTAATTTCTTCAGGCAGAATGAACATGATGTCTCCATGATAAGTGGTGCTGGGAGGCGCGTGGCACACATATATGCGCTGGTCACCAACCCAACTCAGCTCATAACGCCAAACATGAACAGCGCCTGCCCGCGCGAGCTTCCGTCCCAATGAAACTCGTGACCGGATGATGGTCCATGGCCACAACCTTTACAGGACATAGGAACCACCTCCAAAGCTGGCTGGTGCGCCATGGAATGCAAGCAAAACACTTCTCGAGCCATGTCGCTTTCAAAGAGCAAATGCTCAGTGACACCATCCTTGCCGTGTGGTGTACATACTTGCTGTGTGATGTTGCCTGTGTCCCAAGCCTTTTTAGAAACAGCTGCTTGAGCGAAGAATGACAATTACCAGATGTGACTAACATTCTTGCAAGCAGATGCACTTGAGTGATCACCCCAACAAGACAGTCACATCAGAGAACACATAGTAACATATAGTAATTAGTAATCTACAAAGAGCTGGCGTTTGAAGTCGGGCCACGCGGCCCTCGCGGTTGAGGTCCGGCGGAGCACTGCCAAGTGGACCGACCTCGCGGTTGAGGTCCGGCAGGGAAATTGCTGCCAGAACACTGCCATCCTGCACTTGCGGTGGAAGTCCGGCGGGGAACACCGCCATCCGGAGCTGGCGGTTGAGGACGACGCGGAGGCGGAGGCGGAGGCGGAGGCGGAGGCGGAGGCGGCGGTGGCGGAGGAGGAGGAGGAGGAAGGCAGCTGACACAAAATCCATCCCGAAAAGCTCCGGCGAATCGGAGAATCGACGTTGATGGCGACCTGTTCACCGCCTTTCGCCGCCCAGGAGCGCCGGCAGTGCCACGGTGATGCTGCTGATGGCGCCGTACCTGCTGAAGCTTGCTACACTGAGGGAATTGGGCGCAAGAGGGTGGTTACAAAGGAATACAAGGACGGCTTGGGAGATCGGGAGACCTATCAATCTATTAATCTAGAGCTGTGCTTTTAAGCATTGGAACATGGGACAGTACCCTTGTTGTGTTTTCGGAACTGATGATTGCAGCATGTGTGCTTTTTCTGAGCTTGCATTGTCCTTCCCCATGATTTGAGGCCTGTTCCTTCAGTTCATGACATCATGGGAAATAGCATGAAGTAACAGTAACTGGTCACCATTTCCAGTCCAAAGGTTTTTCGGAATCTTAGCGCCTTCATCATCGTCCCTTTCGGGTGGACCATTGTCGGATTGTTTTTTACCTCCCAGGTGACATCGACTCCTTCTGGTCCGAGAGAACGGTCAGAAATTGGACATGTCTTCCCAACCCCCATGCACAGGACCGACCGTCGCGGCCGAACAAGTCGAGGAACCGGCATCCAGATGTGGGACGGAGACAGATCTTCCATGCAGCTGGGCGGAAGGAAGGTCAGTCCGATTTTTCCCGACCAACATGAAAACTGGTTGGCACCCTGCCGGGATTTGGTGCTCTGTTTTTCTGGTTGGTGCCCCTTCGTAATGGCGGAACAAAGAGGCGTCTCCGGAAGAAGACGCTTACCTCCCTCATTCCCAGCAAGCCGCAGCCATCTGTTTTTGGCTAGGCGGCAGCGGGTGCCAGTGCGTTGGCGGGGCTTGGGCAGGCGGGTGCCACGCAGGGGATGGGGATGGGAGACAACGAAAGAAAGAGTAGTGTAGTGAAGTGCAGTGTCTCCTTTCTAAGAATGTTTCCACAGAGCTTCCACTAGTGAACCTGTCTGAGCGCCATTTAAGTTGTACAGAGGATGTTCAGTTTTAATGTTCCGACAGCCCCGGCACAAAATGTCAAGCTGAAGTGGGAAGGGGGCCAACCTACGTCAAAGCAAAACTAAAGACCAGGACATCCTCTCTTCCTCTGGAACTACCCCACACCTCATGATGTTGAGTGGTTTTGTTGTCTTCCAAGTTTGGAGGGGCCACAGGCCTGGTACAGCTTAGGAGTCTAGTATGGGTGGGAGGGAGGGACCAGAAGCATTGGTTGAAAAGGTGTAGGGCCAACATCCATGATGCGCCACTTGAGTTGTAGGATGTTTTGGTTTGTAGGATGTTTTGGTTGCGGAAACTTATGTGGCTCAGACACAGGCAGAGAGAGAGAGAGAGAAAGAATGAAAAGAAATAACGAAAGAAAGAAAGAAAAGAAAGAAAGAAAGAAAGAAAAACATAGACAGAAAGAAAGAAAGAAGGAAGGAAAGAAAGAAAAAAGAAAGAAAGACAGAAAGAAAGAACGAACGAACAGATAAGATAAGATAAGATAAGACAAGACAAGACAAGACAGAAAGAAAGAAAGAAAAACATACATAAAAAAGAACGAAAGAAAAGAACAGATAAGATAAGACAAGATAGACAGAAAAAAATAACAGATACGATAAGATAAAATAAGATAAGATAAGAAAAGAACAGGAAGAAAAACAGACAGACAATAAGAAAGAGAAAAACAGAAAAAAGGAAAGAACAGAAAATGAAAAGACAAGAAAAGAAAAGAAAAGAAAGAAAGAAAGAAAGAGAGAGAGAGAGAGAGGCAAAGACAAGAGAGTGTGAAAATAGCCCATTTTTGAGCAGGTGAGTTTACCCTTCAGTTCTTTTTTGGGGGCGCGCGGTCGACGGCGAACACGAAACGAACAATCCAAGCAGCATGGCTGTTCCAGCCTGGTTTGCCTTCAACAGCCATTTGTTCAATTGCGCGCGCAAAAACCACGACAAGCGCGACAAGGGTTTTGTGTTTTGTGTACTTGTCAAGGGACGAAGTTGGAGAGCCAGTGCGGGTGGCACATGGTGGCACACTTCTAGGCCGGTTGGATGGGTTCGCTGAGAGGTGCTCTTCTTAGTGCTCAACCAGCCAGCTGTGGTGCACTTCTACATCTTGCCCAATATCATGGTGATGGACCTGTTCAACGGCATGTGCCGTGGACCAGACAATGAAGAACGCGTTTTTTTTGTCCGATATTCCAAAGCTCTTGGAAATTCCAAGCAACTCAAACAGCGTGAGTGCCCGAGTGCCCGCCCCGAAGTGGTGAAACATCAGTGAGACAAATCAAAACCACTTGACCCAATGATAATATATATATATATATGTCAAATTTTATTAGACCACTTTAGATCTCGAGAAGGAAAACATCCCCAATGGCCTGGCCTAAACCATTGATTTTCACTCGTCTGGTGGTGGTACCGACACCGGGGACCCTATGGGGTCCCAAGCCACAGGCACCCAAGCCACAGGCACCTCGGACCTGAACAAAACACCCTTGAACAAACAGGTTCAAGCACCCTGGCCACCCTGTTTTCGATTAGCCACGCAGTGAAGCATCAGGGCCCCCCGCAGGGAGAACGATCGAGATGCGTTCTTTTATTTCTTCCCGCTTCTCCCACCACCCCCAAAAACCACGGAGATCCCGATCCAAATGAACGGTTTCCCCCAAACAGGGTGATTTTGTGGTGATCGATTTGTGTTCGGTCTGGACGAGTTCCGATCGCGACCGAAGCACACGGCGTTCTTCGACCGAAGCGCATGCGGTCGAGCCGTCGAGGTGAACATGAATGCCGAGAGTTGCAGAACACACGCGCCGTCGGGCCGTCGGGTACTGCTTTTCACGCCTCAAGAGTTGTAGACACCACTTGAGCACCAGTTCAGAACAGACTCCAACAGCCAACGATGCGAGAATGGAACTTGAAACCTGAGGCAGAGTCCCTTCGTGGCAATGCATATGCTCGTGCACCTCTGGCTGGGTTTTCAGGGCCGGAGAACAAGGGCGTCTTCGACTGAGTGGACGAAATGATTCAAATCGGTGTGTGAGTCAAAGTGCAAGATGCAATGTACCATTTGTGATTTGTTGCTTGGTTTTGGTGTCGGTTGCCTAGGTTGGCATGGTTAGTGGACGAACTGGGGATGACGCCGCTCGGGATCAAAGGCCCCCCCATGTCATCGTAGATCAGTGCTGACCTTGTCGAATGGTGGGAAACTGTCCAGCTTGCTACAGGTTTGCTGTCGGAGCTGCCACGTGTGAGAACTCAGAGGTGGTAGCGGAGCTGCAGATATGAGCAATGCTCCAGGAGGACCGACCAAACACCACGAGAAGGTGCGGTTGGAACGGTTTGACGGGACTGAGCCATCGGGTTACAAGCGGTGGAGACGCAAGGCTGAACTCATCTGTCAGCGCTGCCCACAAATTTTGAGACGTCAAGGTGGGGTCCAAAGCTGTGTGAGTACGTCAGCGGAGAGGCTGAAGAGCTCATTGAGCATATTTCAGCGACTGACCTTTGCACAGATGATGGGTACAAGAAGGTTCTTCTGGCCCTAGATGAAAAATACTTGACCTGCAAACAGGAGGAGATTCAGCATTACTTGAAAGAGTACTTCTACAAGTGCTTCATTAATACAGACAGTTTGCAATGCGGTGGAAATTGTGTATCGCCATCTGAAAGAACACGGGATGGAGCTTCCAGCGGAGATCAAGGGTTGTTTTCTCTGCTTGAATGAGACGCAGGAAGCTTTGGTGCTTACTTCGTCCAATGGCAGCCTGAAGCACAAGGATGTTCTTGAGGCTGTAAGTCGAGTGTTGCCAGAAGGCAAGTGTTCAGTGGCTCCTCGTGCAAAATGCATCTCCACGGTGGAGGATGGCGACCATGCAGGCTGGGTGAACACTCAGTCAGAGGTCTTCGAAGTCACGGACTCTGTGAATGATGTTTTTGAAGCGATTGCTGAATATGTGCAGGATCATGATGGTGACTATGAGGATGGGCTAGAGGTCTTCAAGTCCTATTCGGAAATTCGAAGGAAAGTGCAGTCACAGAAAGAAAGTGGCCAGAGGCTTCAAGCACTAAGCAGCCTTCAACTACGCAGCAATGGCGGTTGGTTGGATCAATGCAGGCGAAGATTCAGAAGATCAAAGGGAAAACGAAGTGTCATATCTGCCAGAGAACAGGTCACTGGAAGAGAGAATGCCCTCATCGAGACAAAGGCAGTGGCAGTACGGGACGCATCAGCAAGCCAGCGTCTGCGACCAGCAAGAAGAGTTCATATGGACCAAGTGGTCATGAGACAATGGTGGCAGACTCTGACGACCACGACAGCCGTGCCGCAGGCTAGGGTTCAAGCAAGCAGCAAGAGGCATTTCTGTCAGAAGCTTTCTTCATAGATGAGAGCATTTCGCAGCTGGACGAGTTGCTAGACGAGAATGACAGTCGAGCGTACAGGGGGGGACCCTTTTTTTTTCGAGAGTTTTTGGATGAGCTTTGGATGACATTCCGAACGCGAGTGAGGCATACATAGGCGAGCTGGAGGAGTTGTGCAGCTTAGATACACATGGGGTTCCAGACACTGCTTGTAGGAAGACACTTGTAGGAGAATGAGTTTTGAAGGGCATCGAAACGGAGTTGAACAAACGGAGCATGAAAGCTAGGTATGTTTATGAGCCGAATGTTTTCCGACTTGGGAACAGTCAATCCATGAGTACTGACATGAGTGTGTTGATTCCGGTTCGCTTCGGTTTGAAAACCGTGATCGTGAAAGCTGCTGTGCTTCCGAAGTCGTGCGCTCCACTGCTGCTTTCGAAGGAGTTTTTGAAGCAGTTGGGTGCCACCATGGATTTGTCCACCAATGAAGTGTCATTTGAGAAACTTGGGGTTACGTTTCCTATGGGGACCACTTCTAAGGGACATTATGCCATTCCTTTGTTTGAGTCACCCCTTAAGCGAGTGTTCAGGAAGACGCACAGAAAGCACACAAACAATGAACATGACAACCCAAGCAGCGACTCGAAGGAATGTCGCAACACACAGCTGCACCCAGACGGACGCAGCGACACAGTGTCCGCAGCTTTTCATCAGGCCTCAAGCACCAACACACCAGTTCGCGTCGCTCCAAGCCCATGCAGAAGATGTCAAGCCCTTACCAGGCCGGTCAGAGCTCATCTCCGTGGCCAGCAGGAGGAAGCCCTCGAGAAATGAGCCAGGAAGCCAATTCGCTGGACAACTTTCCGATCAGCAAGGAGACGAGCAAGGAGACGCCAAGCGACTTGGAAGCCTTCTCCTGACAACCGGAAAGTTCAAGGGCGAGTTTCAAGGAGTGTCTCCGGCTCAGGGCAAATTCGAACATCGCCTATATCTGGAGCTGCGAGATGCTGTGAAGGGACAAGGAATGCACCTTCATCAAATCAAGATGCAGCAGAAGCAAACAGCCGCAACCTCGAGCGAAGAGCCAACATCTCCCGAGACGAGCCTTTAGACCTGTTCGTTGTTTGTGACGGCGTTCAGCATGAAAGTGACAATAAACAGTGTAAATATGATGATGTGATGGAAGTGTTTTCAGTGCCTCGTATAACTGCTACGGCAAAGCGTATGTCAATGCGAGCTGATCACGCTTTCGATCTGAAGCTCGGCTGCGATCTTAGATCTCAAGCGGCCCAGAGAACGGTCATTGAAACGATTCACATAAAAGAAACCTAAACTGGTGGTGGTGTGTCCCCCGTGTAAACTTTTCTCCGTGTTGCAACGGTTGCGGAAAAGTAAGGGGTTCGAGTATGAACAAGCTCTCCAAGGAACAACTTTTGTCTTTTGCTATGGAAGTGTGCGCAACACAATGCGGGGCGCCAGTTTTTGTTTGAACATGCCTTGGAGCGCTGAATCGTGGTCGGAGCAGTGTGTCAAGGACATTTTGAACTTGTCTGATGTGTGCTGCGTGTGTGTGATCAGTGCGTGCATGTTTGGCCTCCATGATGCTGAGACCGGAAAGTTGCCTAAAAAAGCCAACAGGCTGGATGACAAATTGTCGTGAAATTGCTGAGAGGCTTGCGAAGAGGCGTGATGGGAGTCACTCACATCAGCTAATTTCCTGGAACAGTGAAGACATCCAATGGCTGGAAGAAGAGGAGTGAACTTGCTCAGCGCTATCCCAAGCGGTTGGTGCATGCCATTTTGGCCGGCTTGTTGCAGTATAGTATAGTATAGTTGACGATCGAAAAACAAGTTGCAGTCTCAAGGGTGTATGCTGTTGAAGTGTTTTCCAAAGAAACCGTTGGTGCGACCATCATGCAGGCATTGAAACGATGGCGCGAGAACCTTGGACATCCGTCCAATGCTTGAATGATCGCCTTGCTGAGATCAGCCAATGCCAGTGAACAAACAATCAAACTTGCCAAGGGACTCAGTTGTCCCGCCTGTCAGACTAAGGTTTCTCCTTCAACTCCCGCGATCGCTCGCCTGAAGCGCACGTGGGAGTTTAACCAACAGGTTATGGTGGATACCCTGGAAGTGTCGGTGATTGGAAGAACCCTGAAACTTTTGAATATTGTGGATGAAGTCATGAAGCTACGAGTTCAGGTGGTTGCCCTCCTTTGGAGTGGTTGTACTGCTGGGAATGTGCGTTCGGGGTATAGGTAATACTGGAAACGATGGGCTGCGTGTCCGGTGAGACTTTTGTCGGACAATGGTAGAGAGTTCGACGGTGAGTTTAGACAGGGTTTGACAACGATGGCACGTTCAATGGAACTACTGCTGCTTTTGCTCACTATCAAAACGGGGTTGAGCGAAGAGGAGGAACCTGGAAGAGAGCTTTTGAAAAGGCTGTTGAATCTTCGGCTCCGACGTCATGTTGTGAAGTCGACGAACTAATCGATCAAGTGAATTTTGCATTGAATTCTTTACCTTGTGTTGATGGCTATGGCTCAGCACGTGTTTTGGGAAAGAGGCACGTCTTCCCGGAAACTTGGAACTCAACACGAGCAGTGATGTGAACAGCTCTGCTTTGGGAGCTGGAGAAACGAAGTCTCTTAGACAGGAACTGCGAAACGCTGCTAGAAAGGCGGGCAGATTGAAGAAAGCGAACAACCACCGCAGTCGACCCAAAAACATTGGGAACCAGGAGCCCTGGTGCGATTGTGGCCACAGGAAGAGAAGGCGTGTTGGCATGGTCCTGGTACGGTTGTTGGTGCTGATGAAAATATGGTTTGCGTGTTTGGGTGTCGAGTACGATGATGTATAAGTGTGCTCCCGAACAGCTTATTAGGCAGGTGAGCCAGGAACAGGAAACCCTTATTAGGATGTTGCCGTCGGAACTTGTTGCGTTGAAGCGAAACATTCAAGGTCGTGGTGCGGGAAACTACGTTGATTTGAGCGGTGAAGGGTATCCCCCCGGGGGTGAACATGGTCAGGGTGATGATGATCTTGGTGAGGAGAGACGGGGTTCGCAGGTTTTGAGGGAAACAGGTGCTAATAGACCGAGCGGATGATGAGGACAGAAGGGTCAGACAACGGGTTGAGAATGAACAGGCTACCAGGGCTGATGCAGCTGGGATTGGTTCAGCATGAAGCGCCGCCAGCAGACAGATCTGAGGTAGTCATGCAGCAGGTGCGGTCAGGAAGTGGGAGTGAAGAACCACAACAAGAACCAGAAGTTACAGGATCTCCGAGCGCGGGAGTTACACAGACGACGTCTATAAGCCTCCAACCAATGATGAGTGAGAGCATTCCAAGTGATCATGGATCGAGTTCCGTGAAAGAAACACTGGCCGATGAAGTTCTGACGGTGGAGCGCAGACGAGGGCGGAAGGAGGTTTTCAGTCATGAACTGTCACCGTGTCATCAAGCCAGTCTCCGTGCCCGGCGCGCGCGAAAGAATGGCAAAAACTAATAATAGCTAGTGGGGCTATTCGGGTTTTGGGGAAAGAGAGTGAACTGATTCGAGAGGACATGCGTTTGAAGAATAGAATTCTGAAGTCACGTTTTGTTATCGCAAAGGCGGGCGAACTGCCTTTGAGAGATGACACTGAATTAAAAGCTAGGTGGTGTACCAGAGGCTTTTTGGACCCGGACCTTTTGCGTTTGGACACTGAGCACCAACATTAAGTTCAGAGGGTTGTGTGATTTTGGTTTGCAGTGTATCGCTAGCCACACATGGAAACTTCAGGTTTGTGATGTAGAAGGGGCTTTTCTTCGTGGGGACACCTTGGAACGAAAGGTCGGGCGCGTGTTGATCGAGCAACCTCCTGAAGGGATTGAAGGACTTGAGAAAGGAGTCTTGTTAATGGAAGCAATCAAGGCCGTGCACGGTCTGGCTGATGCTCCTCTTGCGTGGTATCAGTCCTTCTCAAAACGTTTGTTGCAGTTGGGTTGCAAACAGTTGAAACTGGATGCGTGTGTGTACCACTTCTACTCCAATGATGATGATAGACATCTGAGTGGAGTGATTGCGTTGCGTGCTGATGACATGTGTTTGGGAGGTGATCATGAGTTTGAGGAAAGAATCATCCATCCTCTGAAGAAGATCTATCCTTTCAAACATTGGCATGTTGGAACAGGAACATTTCTTGGTCGTCGAGTTGAGCAAATGTCAAGCAGTGACATTCACATCACTCAAAGGGAGTATGCTGATCAGTTGAAGGGTATCAAACTGACGCCCGAGAGAAAGAAACAGAAAGATGCTCCTACAAGTGATGTAGAAAAGAAAGAAATGCGTGCAGTGCTTGGTGTTCGTTGCTACAACAGTGCGTGACAAAGTCGGTTGTTGCAGACTTGGTTGATGTGAACAAGTTGGTTGAAGCTGCAATCGAACATGCAATGATGACAATCAAGATTAGGAGTATTTCTCCTAAGGGGATATGCTTTCTTGTTATGTTTACTGCAACTGCCAAAAAGATCATGAATGATGTTTGGGCGCCAATGTCCTTACTAAGGCGGAAGACTTATGAACAAGGTCGTCGAACACCTTCCAGACTCGGAGCTGAGTTGATCGCCTTGTCTCGAGCCTTGGCAGAAGCTAGGTGGATGAGAAGCATGTGGTTGGAGACGATGTATGACGACTATGATCCCATCAAGAACGATGAGTTCGAGAAGAAGACTCCACTAGTTGCAGTCGTGGACAGCAAGCCACTCTTCGATCGCGCCAGATCGAGCACAGCAACAATCAAAGACAAACGACATGCTATCGAGATGCACATCGTACGTGATGAACTGGACACACGCAACATACATCTTAGGTGGGTGGCGACGTATCAGCTGTTAGGGGATATATCCTCACGAAGAGGGGTGTTCGTGTGGATTTGTTGATGTGGTTTTTGCAGTGGGGAAGCTTCGTTATTGTTGAAGACGAATCCATTCAGCCAACAAAACAAAGTGAAGTATCAAACTGTTTTGGGTGTGTGGTTTGTTGCTTGGTTTTGGTGTCGGTTGCCTTCACTTTGTGTTAGGTTAGCATGGTTAGTGGACGAACTTGGATGACGCCGCTCGAGATCAAAGGTCCCCCCCATGTCATCGTAGATCAGTGCTGACCTTGTCAAATGGTGGAAAAATGTCGAGCTTGCTACAGGTTTGTTGTCGGAGCTTTGACCTGTGAGAACTCGGACCATTGAAAGTAGGGGGCAAGGGGGCTGGATAGAGAGAGTCATGTGGGGTTTGATTATATGATTTGTCCGCCTACTTACTGCACGTAGGAGTGGAGAGAAGTGTTTTGCATAAACGTGTGTTAGTCTATATGTTTGAAAAAGCAATCAGTGGCCCTACAGATTTCATAGTGACTGGAACCAGCCAAAGGCTAAGGGCACTCCTTGGACGGCAAGGTGTGAACGTCCCTGGAGTGGCTTCCCAGTCCGGTCCGCCGAGCAGAGCCCACAGTAAGGGACACAGGTGGGTGGTCCAAGCCCAGTATTGGAGTGGATCCACTCCAGCCACCAGTTTCGACCATGTCCTGTGTGGGTTGACCTCCTTCAGTGGCTGAAACCCGGCACCGCTTTCGGCATTGCCCAGCTCGTGCCACCCTAGCTAAACAGCTAGATGTCGCCGCTTCCATGGTCGAGGTCACTTCCAGTCCGGGGTGAAGAATCATCATGAGATAACCATCAATGACATCAACAGTATAGATGTACTCAATACCTCAGACGGAAGCTTCGACGTGCTTGGATCCTCTTCTTCCCCAAACCGTTCAACGATTTCCTTCGATCCCACCCGTGTTTTCCACCCGGCACGGATTTGTGCTACGCCACTACCCCGGAGGACCTCGACGTGGGATGAACCATGGGGAATGGGTGGGGCACGAGTTGTCTCCTCGATCTGCGCTACTCGAGGCACACCTGTGAGCTGCCCTGTATGTTCTACATGTTAGGCCGCCTCGCGGGTCGGAGGATGAGGGTTGCTTGGAGCTTTGAAGGGGTGTTTTGGCTCCGGGGCGAAGGCCTTCGTGTTTTCTGCGATAAACCGAGCTCACGCGACCCTGTGTGATGGGGGATGCCATGGGGTCTTGTTCTGTTTGGGAAAGGGGTTCCACGTACCAGATACCTTTACTTGTTGGTGAATTCAAGGGCCGTACTGAGTACTGCCTACTGTTTACTTCAAAGTGACCATGCTTCGTTGTGCTATGCTTCCTGCTTTCTTGCTGCCTCACTTTTCGTTTCCAGCTGAGGAGCATGTTGATGGATACCTGTCTATCGGCGTCTATGGTGTGTTCGCCGCTCTATCCGCCGCCACTCCGGTCGCCGCTGGCCTGCAACCAGCGCAACCAGGGTGCAGGGAGGCTCCATTGTATGGCCATCCTGCTTGGGCGCCCAGGCCTTTGTGAGATGGCCCCTGTTCGTGGCCAGCACCATGTGCATCCGACAAATCTACGTCTCCTTTCAGGAGCCGGACATGACATGACTGTGAAGGTCGGTGTTTGAGACCGTGTGGCTGGAGGCTGAGGAACCAACCCACAATAATATCAGGATCTCTTCTTTGACTCCAACGTCACATGATTAGAGCTCCCAGGATTCCCAGGATCATGATCCAAAACGTTCCAGGGCATCTGGTTGAGCAAGCCACGGTCTGATGAGAAAGTGCTGATTTGACTGGGAGTGGACTTGTTGAAAATTATCAAGGAGGGTAGAAGATGGATGAGAGTAGCAGTAGCAGAACAGGTGGTGGTGGTGGTGGTGGTGGTGGTATTGGTCATTTTGATAATTGATCATACAGTAGGTGTTCTTGCCGTCCTTTGCGGGCACCCCCTAGACCGCGTTTTTCCCGGGAGCAAAGCCTTTCCAGTCTCAGACGGGCAGCTGAAACGAGCCGTGCAGCTCCTCTGAACATCGGGACCGGGGGCTCCGAGGGTACAGTATCAACAGAAGCTGGGGGACCAACACCACTGAGGGCAACCTGGTACCCGGCTTGGTTGGACTCAGGGTCAGCTCAGGGTGCCCAAGTTTTGGTCTTGGCCTCAGGGTGTTGGCTTCTTCAAGTCGGGGTGTTGCCCGAGGTGGGTCCAACCTCGACCGGCAGATGTCTTCTCCCCCCTTCTTTCGGCCGACAAAACGGCCCAGTGGTTCTCCCCCATTACCACCGCCAGGACCTTGAGAATGGCGTTGAAACCCTTTATCCGGCCTATCCCATGCACCTTGGTCGAACTGATTGTGTGGGAAAGGAATGGCCATTACCCGGTTTTCGGTGATCGGATTACCTATAATGTCCTATTACCTGTAACAGTTGGCCTGCTTCTTCTGATTCTTCTGATTCCCAAATTGGGGAGTAGCTAACACCTTCACGGACGTCTGCTCGTATGTCCGATTTGACCTGTAACAGATTGGGTTACCCCCTGCAAAACTCACATGGACCCTGAAAACCACTGGTGCAGCTAGAGGAAAACAGCCGGACTCCGGGTCGCATTCGACCCTTTTCCATGTGAGATTTCGGGAGCGTAATGAGTCCATCAGCCTTGGTCTTCCACCCGGACCCTCCCCGAGTCGGACACGCCGTGGGCTGCGAGCGCCCCAAAACCACGACGCCCAACGGCCAAAACACGTGTTCAACACACGAGACGCGAAGCATGTGTTTGAACCAGACGGGTGGAATGGGTCTTGTTATTTTTGGGAAAACACCGCTTTTCTCGGACGACATGAGCGTCCAGGAGTATGAGTTATGAGTCAGGACATCCGATAAGTATCAGTAATTCCGGCAAAAGTTCCCAGAGTCACATCAAGAAGTGATCACACTTGTGGAGACAAGTCTTCAAAAACTAGGACAGAGACAAAGTAACACATCAAACAGGAACCTGGAGAAGGTCATTTTACAAAGGAGTACATTTTTTGGTTGCCGCATGAAGTTGATTGTGGAGACATGTTTTTTGATCTATAGAGGACAATGCTTCTTCACACAGTTGAGCATGCTAACTTGATCCCTTGTTCCACCTTCATGTCAACTGCCAATGCAAAACACATGGATCAAGATTTAACATGTTTATGGTCGAAGCTGACACATCTCAGAATCCACTCTTCAAGCCCCAGGTTTTGTTATGTTTGTTTTGTACATTTGCAGCTTAGCATGTTTCAGAGTCTGTTTACTTGCTGGTTGACCGCGTCAACGACTTGTTTGCTGACTTACAAGAAACAGAGTCAAGGGACAGTCAAAGGTGACGCGCTCTGTGTTGAGCAGGTTCAACCAGCAGTATTTGTGCTTGTGTTTCCTTCTCCTCTCCTTAACCTCCCATCTTTTTCTTCTTCAAGAGATTTCAGTTCCAGAGAAGCTCAGTTCCCGGCGCCTTTCAAAGATGGAAAAGGAGAGATGTTTGGAGACCGGTACTTAGGCCCTCTCCGTTTCGAAGACGATGTATCAATATGGAAAAACAGCAACCATTGTCCCACCACCACCAACAACAACAACAGCAACAACAGTAACAGCAGCAGCAACAGCAGCAGCAACAGCAACAGCACCAGCAGCAACAATAACAGCAGCAGCAGCAGCAGCAACAGCAACAGCAACAGCAACAGCAACAGCAACATCAGCAGCAACAGCAACAGCAACAGCAACAGCAACAGCAACAGCAGCAGCAACAACAGCAGCAGCAGCAGCAACAGCAACAGCAGCAACAGCAGCAACAGCAGCAGCAGCAGCAGCAGCAACAGCAGCAACAGCAACAGCAACAGCAACAGCAACAGCAACAGCTTCTTTCTTCTCACGCACTCAGGGAGAGAGTAGCGCCGCCCTTCGGTCAATGCCTTGTTGACCGGACTCCAGGATCATATGATCGGAGATCGTTTGGATGTCACAAGCAATTAAATTTATCACCTGACCTCGGGAAACGTGTAGAGTCAAGGTGAAAGCGACCTAAAGTCAGTGGCCCAAGGTTCCAGGGGCACTTCAACCATCCTCTAGCTACAAGTGATCAGCACCGGAAAAGAAAACCGGAAAAGCTATCACAGCACTTCAAAATTCGCTAAAGGAAAACAAAAAAACAGTCAAACAAATGACTTTTTCCCCCCCTCTCAGGAGCGGCTGCAGGTCCGCGCGGCAGCCGCAGGCTCACTCATCAGCAAGGGGCGCAGGTCCCGCAGCCAAGGCGCGGGTGATGGAGGCATCAGCGTCTTGCAGGCGCTGAAGTAATACACCCAAGGCACTGTCCTCTTCCAATGGTTGGCTCGGGGCAACTTCCTGCACTGCATGAGATTGAGGCCAAGTGGCGGTATCACTCCTGGAACTATTCTCCAAGGCACGGCCCTCAGAATCATCTCTCAAAGGCAAACCAAGCATGGGTCCAGGTGCATCCAAGTCCAAGCTAGGATGCGCAGCTGTCAGCCCCTCAAGAAAAGGCCGAGGCTCCCAAGACGCGTCCTCCTCAGGTGAGGCCGTGATGGCCTGGTCATGGGTGGGCACAGGGCAAGTAGTTCCAAGCGTCTCATGACCTAGGTTCAAAGGGACGGAGGAAGGAGTCAATCCTTGCATACCATCTGCTTCCGAGTCTTCTAAATCCAGGTCCTGACATGGCAGGGTCCAGAACAGGACACCTCGGGTGTGAAAGTACTCTGGGATGACCATGATTTCCTGAGGTCGTTCATTGTCATCACATAGCCACTTCTTTCCAGTAATGGGATCTAGCAAAAGAGCGCGAAAGTGCCCCTGAAGCGAATTCCCCAAATGAGCCACCACTGCCACAACACGATGAGAGACCCAGCTGCGGGCCAGACCATCGCGAAGGAAGATCGGCAGCGAAAAGGGCTCCATGAACTCCACGTGATGAAAATGACCTAACAGCCGAGTCGAGTCAATCAAACGATCCAAAAAGAAGACTTTCAAGCCACCATGATGTGTGAACGCTGTTGCCATCGAATGGCACTCCAGCCATGGAATCAGGAGATCAGGCAGGTCAATTTTTTCCGCATCTAGTTCGTAGAGGTGGACCAGCGCTACAGGCTGAAAATCACTGCCAGCTTCATAGCAGTGACAGCCTTCTGAGTTCTCAAAGCGTCGCTCCCAAGCTTGAGAGATCTGGGTAGTACGACACCAAGCCAGGACCTCACTCACAAACTCGGCGATGTCCCTCTGTTCCCCAGAGGGTGTCCCCTGAAAGAGATCTGTCAAAGCCGGATGGCGATGCAGAGCAATTGTCTCATCCACCCTTGTGGATCGAAGCAGCCCCTGTGTGACGGTCCAAATGTGACCATAGGTATATTCATTGAAGGAGGCTGAGTGCACCAAGGTCCAAAGCAGGGATATCAAGCCCGCATTGGCGTAGCACCAGTTGGAGTCATTGGTGCAAGCCAAGTTGCACAGATCCTCCATCCATTTCCTCTTCATTTCCTCCCCCCTTGAGGTCGCAGGACCATCTGAATGTCTTGTGCCAGCTTGGACCTCTGGAGTCCATGTTGCTTCAGGCGTGCACCGATCAGATGCCACAGGGCTGATCCCGTCAACTGGCGTAAGAGGCTCGAGAGGGAATCGTTGCGCATGGATATCTGCAATTTCCAAGGAACGACCTCGCTCCGACCCTGCTGGGAGGCCATCGCGAAAAAGCGGACACAGTTGGTCGGTTCCAAGAATGCTTGCTGAAGGATGCCCAAGTGTGTCTCCATGCTGGACCAGGAGATGGGAGCCGTCTGACTGATGACCAGGCGCTTGTGCTGGTGGTGCCATATGAGATGCGGGAAGCTGGAGTCTTCCAGGATGGTCAGGCTCTTGATCGCCGCTTGCTTGGTGGAGTCGTCGGAAAGCTGGAGTTTGAGTTTCTGGAACCTGTTGGTCAACTCGTTGATCACAGCCTGAATCAAGTAGGAGCGCAGGGGGATCATGGCTTGGTCGGCAGGAAGGTCGTGCCATTGCTTTGCTGTGCGAAGCAGGAGTGGCAAGACTCCGGAGTTCCCCTGTTGGAAGAACAGCACAAACGAGTCCTGCATAGAGACCGAGTTGAGGGAGTCCTCGTGCCTGATCAGAAGTTGCCCCATCAACCTGCATAATTTCATGACCTGACCACTCTCTTCGCTTCTCGTGGATGAGGTCGAGCTGCTGTGAGGAGAGGATGGCCTCTGATGTTTCCTCCGTGGCTGGGACTGAAGGGCCACTTCTCGCTTTTGGCGCTTCTCCTGAGGAAGGTCCTGCTCCAGCTCTTCCGGTGATGCGAGCATATTTAAGAATGCCAGGCCCACCTGACTCAGCCTGTCTCCTTCTTGAACTGCCATCACCTCGTCCATCCTGATGATCAGGGCGAAGCCACGTCAAAGCACACCCAAGGTTGAGGAGTGGTGCACACTTGTGTGTGAGAAGAGCCCACACACTGTCGCCCTCTAAGGCATAGTCCTTGAGAGTTGTATGGCACCAAGGGCATGGAAGTGGATCACACAAGGCAGGCCGTTGAGCCAAGAGAAAACGGTAGAGCACATGGAGAAGGAAGCCATTGTGGCCACTCTGAGATCGATGCTGTTGAAGAAGATGTTCAAACAGTTGAATGCTGGTCTCAAAGTTGCGAGAGCACAATGCACATGTGGTGCTGAGGATCTGGCTGTCGCGAAGAAGGAATTCCCAGGAGTTCTCACCCGGACACTGAAGCCATGGAGCAAGAGCAGGAACCTGTGCATGCAGAGCGGCATGGAGCTGGATCAACTTGTGCAGGGTGTCTGGAGAGATGGTCCAAGGAAGAATGAGCTTCCGATGTCTGGGGTCCAGCAAGTATTGTAGCATGGCCAGTTGTCGATAAGCGGGACATCTGTGAGATCTTGGCTGAGGGATCCTGCATGGTTTGCAAATGCATGTCATCTTGGCCTCATCCACCAAATTGCTCATGAGATCTGCCTCTCTGTAGAATCCCCCGTGATGGCATTGAAGATGCCGTACCAAGTCGGCCGTTCGAGAGTAGGCTTGACCACAGAAGGAACACATCATGGTCAATTGGTGTCTCATAGCTGACTCACGGACGGCCTCCCCCCATTTGCCAGCCTGGATCAGGGGCATGAAGTAGTCATCGCTGCGGAGAACCGTGCCAAGTTCCTGGTCACCGAGTGGATCCAGCTGATCACAAGACCCACGTTCAATGTGCCGTCTGAGTTCCCAGAGCTCCCCAAAATGGCTGCCACAATGGCGACACACCGTGGTCCCATGGATCGTGTCTCGAGAGCAACAGAACCGAG